CCTCACACTTTTTATGCTAGTTGCCAAACACTCTTTAAAGACTTTTGCCTTTGCTCAACCCATCTCTATCCCTCTGGAATGGGCTTCTCTTTCATCTCATGGCTAACTGCTACATGTCTTGCAGTATTTAACTGTTACTTCCTCAGGAATCTTTTCCTCATCCTTAGTGGAAGTGCTGCTCCCATTGATCCATCAGTTACCCTGGATACCTCTATTAAATACTGTGTTTGTGTCTATTTCTAGCATGAGATGTGTGCTCCTCAAAGGCAGGCATTAGGTCTAATGTATCATTGGTCCTTAGTATGGTGCCTGGTATTTAGTAGACAATATAAAATAAAGAAGTATTGGCTAGATTGGTTTATTGAACAAAGTGTTATAAAAGAAGTATAAAAAATATAAGACAGCAGCATCATGGACGTGAGTAATTAATTTCAACTGACAAGATCAAAAAAGCTTCATATAAAATTCAGTAATTTAGTTGAGTCTTTTTTAAAACTCTTTTTATATTTTTGAGAATCAGACAGAGGGAGACAGAGTGTGAGCAAGGGAGAGGCAGACAGAATCTGAAACAGGCTCCAGGCTCTGAGCTGTCAGCACAGAGCTCGACCCATGAACTGTGAGATCATGACCTGAGCCAAAGTTGAATGCTTAACCAACTGAGCCACCCAGGCGCCCCAAGTTGAGTCTTAAAAGAAGTCCATAATCAGAAAAGTGGGGGATCAAAAGTGCAAAATGAGTTTTTTAAGAGGGGAAAAGTTCCTGGGTTGTGGTTGTATTGCACAGAAATAAAGGTCTCGGGGGTTCTTGGGTGGCTGAGTCTGAAATCAGTTCAGTGTCTGATTCTTGCCTTTGGCTCAGTTCATGATCTCAAGTTTCATGGGATCAAGCCTCACATTGAGCTCCGTGCTGTCAGTGCAGAGCCTCCTCAGGATTCTCTCTCTCTCCCTCTCTCTCTGGTCCTCCCCTGCTTATACTCTCCTACTCCCTCAAAATAAGTAAATAAAGTTTAAAAAAAAGAAAAGAAAAGGCTCATTAGGGCATCTCAGAATGATTGATGAGTAGATATGGGAGTAGGGCCTTGAATGCCACAATCAAGAGTCTATTAGTAATTCCATCAGCAATGGGAATAGGGGGATGGTGTTTAGAATGATGAAGGAACATAATTAGACCTTAAATTTCTTTTCTAGAGTAAATACCTTGAGGGTTGGGGGTTTTTGTGTTTGTTTGCTTCTTTCTTTCTTTCTTTCTTTCTTGCTCACTATTTTATTCTCAAATAAAAGGTGACTTATATAAAAGTAAAACCTAATTATATACTTGAATAAACATTTTTTAGAATGGTACTGTCTGATGTGTTTTTCTGCAACGAGGGAAATGTTCTCTATCTGTGCTATACAATATAGTAGCCACCAGACACATGTAGCTATTGCTCACTTTAAGGAACTAAGGAATTGAATTTTTAATGTTCTTTCATTTTAATTAATTTATATTTAAATTTAAATAGCCACATGTGCCTAGTGACTATTATGTTGGACAACACAGTGTAGAAAGTTCTCCCTAGCAGAGTCCCAACAGAAAACAGATGGAACACTCAAATTAGGATAATTCAAGGAGAATTTATTTATAAAGAGATTATTTTCCCTACGTCTGTGGGCAGCCACACATTTAAGGGAACCACAAGAGAGGGTGCAATTAACTGTGGTAGTGATATGAGAGCAATGGCGAGACAGAATTGATGGAATACTCATAGTTAAGATTATAATCCTGAATCACATTGGAGCAATATTTATAATATGCAGTAAAACTTTTAATGGCATTTCATTGAATGAAATCTATGTTCAGAATTGTTCTTTTCAATAAAGTCTTTCCTGATAGTTTATTTACTTATGAGGAATGTGATTGCTTTGAATCAGTGATTGTGTTGAAACAGTGCTGATCTGAGCTGTGCTTTCTCTTTTTTACCTGGTACTCCACTGTGAGTGGTACCTTTTCCATCGGTAGGATTGTGCTGACTTAATGATGGCTCCTATCAAGGCTGCTTTAAGAAGGATCTTCTCTTCTGAGCACCTAGAATGTAGGCAGGTTCTCACTGTTATCTGTGGTTATATTTTAATATCCTGCCCTTTTTGTCCCTTGCTTCAGTATATACAATTCACCTTCAGTCCTCGCTCACTGCTTGATGATTTGTTAAGGCTTTGAAAACAGAAGGAATGAGAGCTTTTAAACAGGATGGGGCTATTTCTCCTTGCTTTATTTATTTTTATGCCACACAAAAGGAATAAAGAGGCATAAAATGGCTTGACTGAGCCAAATAAATCTGGATAAATAGACCAAGGGCCCAATAAAAAGCTGGAGGTGAGAAGAAGAAAGGCAGGGATGGGGAGGATACAGGGAAGGAAGAAGGGAAGATTTTATACTTTCTGTAATAAAGTAATAAAGATAGGGACTGTTTATTATTACCTAGAGAGCAAAATGTCTTTGACCCAATGAACTTTTAACTAAGATTAAGCTCTGAGTAGAAATTAGGAAATCATCTTTATATTCTTTATTTAATCACTTCAGGTTGTCACCTCCTGTCATCCTTTATTGAAATTTTGTATGCCGCTGCAGTTTGCTCTAAGAAGGTCGACATCTTTTAGTTGTTTTGATGAATCCCCTCACGGAAGCTAGTGAGTTTTTATGATCAGCACAACAGGAATCTCCCATATTACTTATGATATCCTGTGTGTGTTAGGGCAGGGAGATATCTCTTCATCTGTCCCACTCCTGACTCTTTTTTGACTATCTCTGCTTTCATGAAGTTGAAAGAGACAACCAAGAGCTACACTGCCTGAAACTGGTAAATATGGGTTTAGTTCTTAAGGTAAAATTAGAAACTGTCTTATAGTCCATTGTGTATCTGTTTATGCCACTGCTTTTCACGGCTCTGCATTAATTTTTCATAATTCTCTACTGCTATCATGGATAATGCTGAGTAGGAGCTGTGAAGGTAGTCACAACTTTCATCTGGGTAATTGCCACCATGGCTTTTATTGCTCTGACATCTAGAAATTTATTTATCTCTATTTTCCCCTCCGTGTTCTCTCCACTTCCTCACTAGATACAGTCTCCATCATGTACTCATTGTCAAAAAGAAACAATGGTTAAAGACTTAGTCATCCTCTGTTGTGTTTCCCCCTAGAAGGCATCTGGAAATGTATGTGACCAATATTTGGCTATCACAGTGCCAAAGAACTGTTCCTGGAATCTGGTAGACAGGAGCCCATGGATGCCAAACATTTTGCAGTGTATGATGGTCTCAAATGATAGTGATTTTTTCCATCTTAAATATTAAATATTTTTCCATCTTAAATAAACACCATTGCTGAGAAAATCTAGGTGTAAATGAGGTTTAGGTGGGTACTAGTAATCTCAGCTAATAGAGGATTTTAGCTGTGCTTGATGGGTAGATTCTAAAATTTCCTCAAGAATCTAGTATGGCACCTTCCTGGCATTTGGTAAGCCCCTAATAAAGCCATGTTGTGTTTTGAATCAAGCTTTTCATTTATAAACTAGTCGACACCATTCAGTAAGTCCTCTGCAAGTTACTTTCAGGAAAAGAAACAAGAAAAGCTTAATAAACTTTACTTTCCCAATATCAAGATTCTAACGGTATTATAAGAGTGATGAACATGCATAGAAACAAAATGAGAATATTGGAAAATGTTCAAAGTGCTATTGGAACAAAGAAAGGTGAGAGTTTACTCTTGAGCAGAGTCAGTGGGGAAAACTCTTTATGGAAACCATTGAGGAACAGGTGGATTTTAAGAGCAGGTTATTTTGGTAGACACTTGCTGAAGTCAAGAGTACGTTATATATATAAGAACTTGGGAGGACAGATAGACATGACTAGGAATATTGTTACAGGGAAGGATAGTACTTGAGAAGATGTGACAGAATATAGAACTAAAAAAGAGGTTGGAATAGAGTACAGATGGTCATGAACTTCTTGAAAGAAGTCTTTCCACTGGAAGCTACGGATTTATGTGTGAATGTAATCATTGGACACAACATATGACACACTGCCTAATGGTCTAAACTTTGCCTCAATTTCCTTCTCCATGGAGGCTGTGCTGTAAACTCCCTCAGTTATCAGTGGCTTAAACTTACCTTACTGATTTTCAAGGTCTCCTCTCAAGAGCCCTTTTCAGTTTATTAATTTAAATGGTAGCAATTTTCTTAGAGGTGAATCACATAATGATTTTTTTCAATCTTTTTATACAAGATAGCACTGAAAAAAAGTATGATTAGATTCAATTCAGTTGTCTCCCACAAAAGTAATATGTAGAAAATACCAACCAAGGTGACTCTCTGTGTGCTTAATAGCCTAAAGATTTAGGTTAAGGATATAACAGAGAACTATTCTGTTTAAAAAATGAAAAGGTGTTGCACAAATTATCTTAAAGAGCCAAAAACAGCGTCCAGTTCCTACTTGAAACAATTTGTTCTTGGAATATTGTCAGCTAAAATTGTGGTCAACTTTTGCAAATTGTATGAATTTGCACTGCATATTTTATTTAGTGTTTAGCAAAACTCCAATATGGCTCTGCATAACTTACACAATACACCATGAAAATGACTTCAGAAACTCCCACAGAAGTTGACAAATTGGGCATCTAATGCTTTTAAGCTAATTGCATGCTTAGAGGTTAAAAAGTCAACTTGTTAAGAATGAAGATCAGAGTTTCTTGGAGATAATGCTCTGCCGACTACCATACCGAATGCAACCCAGCCCTGTATCAGAAATATTACAGAAACGTAAGGAAAAAATAATGTGAGCTTTAATCACCATTCTACTTAGTCTTAAGTGAAGTGCTCATGAATCATATGCAATATCATAGCAGTTTTGAAACCTATTCTTGAATTTTCAAGCTGTTATTTTCAGGAAATTGAGAAAGCAAATTGCTAAGTGATAAAGAGTAATTTGATACCATTGCTTATGCCATTTTTTCCCTCTTTTGCAGACTGGAAAAAAGGAAAGGAGTAATACCCTGAATATTGCAATAGACAACATGTGCAAGAAGACCAGAGACCTTCGCAGACAGGTGGGGGATGAGAGACGTGGAGCCACAAACATCATACAAAATGAACCTTTTTTCCATTGTTAGCATATTTACTCTCTGTTTTTGTTGTTTTTCAATTAATTTAGAACACAAAAGTATAGCAATAAATATATACCTTCCATATTTGCATACCTCAACATTTTTTTGTGGCAAACATAAAATAGGACAAAGAGCATGTGACTTAATATCAGGCAGAATTACACTAGAATTACACTCAAATGCTGGCCCTGCCCTCATCAGCTGTCTGATCTTGGGGATAAATTTAATCTTTTTGAGCCTCTCTGAACCTATAAAATGGAATTAATAAAATAATACATAATACAACTGTGAGGGTTAAATGAAATGCCTATCAGTGTCTGCTATGTAGTGATTTTTTAGGAATGTTGGTAAATTGAATATTTTATGTTAAAAACTGAGTTTATCATCCATATGCTTATGGCAAACAGCTATCAGTTAGAAACATACCAATATGCCCTTTTGATTCTTTTCAGAATGCTTTAAAAATTAGTTTCTGTTTAAGCTAATGCTGCTTTGTAGCCTTAGGTCATCAGGAACACAGAATTAGGAAGGATTTCATTAATTTACCAGTCTAGTATTATGCCACACGTTAATTTTTTCCTTCTAGAAAATGAAGGAAGACTTAGCTGTTTTCAAAGACTTTGCATTCCATTATTTTCCACTCTTTAATAACTAGAGTTCTTTTTCATGCACAACTTTAACTTGGTCACTATTAACTCATAAAAGACAAAAGCTTTTCAACCATAAGATTTTAATGCAATATATTATTGTAGTTTAATGGGAAGGTTTAGTAAAATTGCCTGAGCAATCTTTTAATTCAGAAGTAGATTTGGAAATGGAATAAATAGGGATCTCTCAGCCAGTTAATATTAGCCGTAAAAAAAAGACAAAACAAAACAAAACAATTTTGAGGTCTGGGAAGATTCCAGTTTCTCAACTTTATGGCCTTAATGTGAATTCTATTTCTACAGTCAGCACTTAGAATCATAGAAAGTAAGAGTTGGAAAGAGCTTAGCATAACCTGTCTTACAATGAGGATGAGAAAGCCTGCCTGTGTGGTGAGGTGACCTGTCTAAGGAGGAAGGGGCAATGAACTGATACCCGTTCATAACCTGTACCAATTCAGGAACTTATACTCACAGGACAATCCTCTTTCTTCATTGCAGGACTTCTATTCTCAATATTCTTCAGGGTTTCTGCCCCATCTTCTCCTCTTGGGATTTGGAAAAGTTGATTTTATGAGCTATCAACAATTATGTCTTTCATTCCTGTCTCATCCTTCTATACTGCCTTCAACAAGGTTATGCAGAAAGTATTAATCTACACTTATATCTCCAAAGCTTTTGGAGTCATTATTAAAAAAAAGTCCAGATAAAGCAATCCATTATATGTAGGATTACCAGATTTAGCAAATAAAAGCACAAGATACCTAGTTAACTTTGACTTTCAGATTAATAAGGAACATGTTTAAATACGTCCCAAATATTGCATGGGAGATAATTACATTAAAAAGTCATATGTTAAGGAGCACCTGGGGGGCTCAGTGGGTTAAGTATCCAACTTTGGCTCAAGTCATGATCTCATGGGTTTTGGAGTGGAGCCCTGTATCCGGCTCTGTGCTCAGTTCAGAGCCTGCTTGGGATTCTCTCAATTCTCTCTCTGACCTCCCCACTCATGCCTTCTTTCTCTCTCTCACACACACACAAAATAAATAAACAAACTTTAAAAAATAGTGTGGTTATATGAAATTGGAGTTTGATTAGGCATCTTGTATTTGATCTTGCAGTTCTACTTGTGTTTTCACCTCACTAACAGTGCTATGTAGAGAGCATGAGGAATCACTAATACTTTTTTGTTATGGTAAAGGGATGTTTCCAGCCTGTAGAGAACTGCTATGTTTTTAGAAGTATGAAAATTCTCTGTGATTTCACAGGTCAACATATTCATTGCTTTGAGGAAGTATCACTGGTTAACAAACCACTGTAAACAATAGCATCTTTTACTATGTTTCATGATTCCACAGGCTGGCTGGGGGCCAGCAGAGCCATTTTTGTAGTGTTTACAGTTGTGGCTTCCCATGTAGTGGCAGCCAAATGGTGACAATGTCTGGGTTCAGGGTTGGATGTTTGAGGCCTCAATGCTTCTTCTTCTTCCCTCTCTCCATGTGGTGTCTGATCTCCTAGCACCTCTTCATGTAGTTGCTCTCTCCAGCAGGGCAGCCTGGATTTCTTGCATGATAGCTCAAGGCTCCAAGAAAGGTGAAATGGAAGCTTCTAGACTTTCTTAATGCTTAAGCTCCAAAGTTACCAGAATGCAATTTCTTCCCCCATTCTATAGATAAAAATAGTTGTGAATCCTGCCCTAGGTCAAAAGGAGTAAATAGAAGTTCAAAAAGTGATACATGTTGTATAGGATGGCATGGGATTGTTATAAATTTGTCTCTGGACACGTCTGTGGTCTTCGATGTCAGTGAGGTAGTTGCCATGATTCATTCTCAATATCCTTACTTGCCCTCCCTAGGATACCATTTTCCATCCTGATGTTTATGCTTTTGCAGTAATAAAAACTAGCTCAACAGCAACATGAAGCATCTCCACCTCTTCTTATTCTTGCAAAGTTTATCAAGCAGTTTGTTTCAAGCATCTGATATACACTCTTCCTCACAGGAAGAAGAAAGCCCCTACCCTTAAAATGTTTTTCTTTGGAATATTTAATGTTCATATATTGTTGTAGATTTGTTTTTACGTGCATGTTGTTTTTAGTAGACAGTGATCAGAACACATCTTCTTGCCCATTCATGTAATCTCCTTGCTACCCATGGCTTATCCCTCAAAAACACAGAAACATTTTAGCCCTGGTTCAGAGAATCATTGGACTTTTATGAGGAATGAAATAGATTGCTTAGATCTAGAGGGGAAGCAAATTACACATTTTGGGGCAACAATATGAAATGTCCTAGAAGGTGACTTAGTGCATATTTGTCTGAACCTTATTGCTTTGTCTTTTTTTTTTTTTTTTTTTTTTTTACCTGTTACACTAGGGAACGAAGACAAAAGTCCTTGGCATGGTGTTCCAGATTCTCTGTGATTGGCCCTGACTTTAATCAACATTATTCATAATGTTCCTTCTCTTTCACTTTTTCAGTTCCTCCTCCTCACCACATTATACATTAACCTGTTCTCTGACAAAAGAGTCAACTTACTATTCACCAAATTTTCCATTACTTCCCTCCCCCCAAAACACATGTATCTTTTATATATAGTTTGTTTAACGTGGTGTTTTTCCTGATGCTCTTACTCCCCTACCTAAGCCCTAATCAACCTTAGGGACTTCAAGACTAATGTAAATGCTACTTCTCCCATAAAACCTTTACCATTCCCATCAGGTGGAATTATTACTTTTTTCTTCCTAGAGCATTTATAGCACGTGTAGTTCTTTTACAGAACTACTATAGCTTGTATTTTTCTTCTTTAATGGATTTTTCTTCCCACTGAAATTTAAATCGTTAAAATGATAGTTATATCTTTCATTTAGTATTGTTTTCCAAAGCTGTCCACCAACTCTTTACATTATCCCTTATATTATTCATTTTTATTTCTGAAACGAGAAATAGTACCATAGAGTTATTACCTCAATGTCTTAGGTAATTCAGTTTACTGAACAATACTTAACTAACTGGTAGAGTGGAGGTTTGAATTCAAGTCCATCCAACACCAGCCCAAATTTGTAAACACCATATGAGAGGTCAGGAATAGTAGCCTATTCACCCTCAAAATTCCTGGTACCTCATAAACTGATTTTAGCATTCTAATTTTTCTTCCTTACCATTTATTTTACAATTTTTTATCATTATTTTCTTCTTTAGTCTATTTCCCATCACTTATTTGAGAACGGCATTACCTATTAAAATTCTTAATAAGGGAGGAAGATTTTTAAACTTCATTTCTTCATTTAAAAACTTAAGACAATAGAATATGTTCCATTTCGGGACCACTCTGCATAATACAAACATACATTTGATTTCACTAAAGGCAGATTGAAAATTTTATTTGTGTATATTGAGAAAAAAATGCTTATTTTATAATGCCAAAGTAGGGACTTGAGATATGTCAAATTAAATAGGGTTCTGATGAAAACAAACAAAGCAGAAACTTGACTGATCCTTTAGTTGCTCAGTTGGTGAATCGCTATATCCCTCTCTTTTCCATTTTGGTAGTACCAATGCCACACTTAGAAAAAAATACCTATGTCATTATAGCTCTTCTTCATCATCCTTGTAATCAAAGATTAACTTTCAATAAGATAGTAGTCTCATTAAATAGGCACAGTAAGTCTATGTTGAATTAATTATTAGGTGATTTTATTAGTTCTTATTACTCCATTGAGCTCTGACAGTTACATTTTGCTAATTGACTTAAAATCAAAATGGCATTAATGTACACACACATAATTTTTTTCTAGTTTCCTGAGAATAATTATTTTCTGAAACACTTTCTTTTCTTTCCATTCCTCTTCCCCTCACAATTTTATTCTTTCTATATTCTTTTATTTGGTGGTGGTGGGGCGTGGGCAGGGCTATCTTATAGTTTTCACATACAGCTTTTACTTTTGAGTTTCAATTGTAGAGAAATATATTATTTTATTTGAGATCCCAAACCACTTACATCAGTGGGAAATAGAAAAATTGATGTCTCAAAGCCTTTTATTAAACTGTAGTGAGAAAAGATGGAAAGCCCCTCAGTTTGATTTTGTGCCTGACATCTTTCATGCCTGGCCACAAACAGGTACTTATTGAAAATACATACCTCTAACTCCTATTGGTCTCCCACTAACTTCAGATTTTAGTGCTGCAGCTTCTAAGGTTGTCCTATTTTTACATTGGCATGTTGGATTCTTCTTTAAGGTTATTTTTTGTATATCACTCAAATGAAAGGAATGAATTTTTCCATTGGTCTGGAAAATAAAGGCTTCTTAGGTATTATGCATAGATATAGATAACTGTGCAATTTAAATGAAAAAAAACCCCGCATGTCAGAATATGCTACAACATCTAAAGAAAATTACGTAGCATAGCATTTAAAGCCTTCCATGTTTTGTCCCTATTTGCATTTCCAGTCCTATCTCATGGTAGTTCCTCTTACACAATCAGCATAGTACAGGGGATGGTGGTTTCAAATTCAGTAGTGTAAGAAGCAAAAGTGATAACATGTGATCATCACTGGATAGTTTATGTAAGACATCCTTCTATTACTTGGCATATGACCAAACAACATTACTGCCAGACAACTGTGTCTGTTTTGTATCAGATTCCCCTGAAAGCAAATCCTGAGACCAGAACCTGTGTCCAGGTAGGAGGCAATTACTTGGGAGACAATTCCAAGAAGCAAGTGTAAGAGACCATGAAGTGTAAGAGAACAGGCAGGGAAAGAGGAAAGGATATGCTCTTTGCAGTAGCTACTGCCAATAACAGGAACTTAATTCCAACAGAATTTCGAAAGCATTGGCATAGTCATTTTCCAGTCCTTCTGTCTTGTCCTTCTAAACATAATACCACATCTCCGTGGTCACCTTTTTCATTTACTGCATTTTGGATTTAGCAACATGCCTTAGAATAAAGCAAAAAATGTGTTCCTAACATGGCTTAGTTAAAAAATAATAATTATTTAGCCAAAGCATTTCTTTATTTATTCCTTAATAATAGTAAATCAGCTGTACCTTAAGCCTCACCTTTGCAACATATTTCAGCACTTGTGTATGGAATGAAGGATTGAATGAATAGCAGGGAAAACATAGTAGAAAATCTTGAAAAAAAAAAAAAAGAACAAGGGAGTACATATCATTAAAATGAAGGAAAGACAGATAGCACCACAGAGGGGAAATACACAGACTATCGCAAATGTATCCAGTACTGGAAGATTGTTAAAATTACTCGTATATTTTTTAAAAAGGGCACAAGGTGGGATAATAGTTATTATCTCTCTATATTTTTTCATGGTGATAAAATATATATTTTTAGAAGTACAAGAAGACAGTCTAACTATCTGGATGTAGTTGTAGTTGGGAACATACATCAAAGTCTCATCTCCCATTCATTCTCCAAACCATCACAATCGGTTTCACTTTCCTCTCAAACTGCTCTAAGTTTATCAATGACCTCTTAGTTGTCAAGTCCATCAGATAAACCTGATTTCTTTTTATTTAACTTATTCTTAAAACTAAACTCTGAAACTCATCTTTTTTTGAAATTTCTTCACTGTCAGTTTCCTTATTTTCCCTTACTGTAACATTGAATGACTCTCACCCCCCCACTAAGGGACCATGTATTTTCATCTTGATGTATTTCATAAGAACTTGCTTTTAGTAGAATGGTAAGGAGATGATTCTGAGAAACAATTGTTGAGTTGAATGGAATCAAATACAGAGAAAAGATCAAATACAAAGAAAATATTCAAGTCGATAATGTGGGTACTATAATTGCATCTAGCAGGATAAGTACATTTGGAAAGCATTGACACAGATTTATTTCTCTTTTAGTTGTTGGTCATTTGCTCTCTTTATTTTTTGGCCATCGTCTGAGTCTCTTTTTAGATCCTACTTTTCCATCTGCATGATTCCCATATATAGTAGTATTTCCTAAGTTTTAATTCTTGGGCATCTCCTCACTGTGCATCACCCTCTATGTTCTCCTGTCTACCTCCTTGGCTTGAATTACCTCCCATATGTATGTTGGCTACTACTTGCATAGCTTTAGTGCAGATCTTCCCTTAGCCCCCCTTTTATATATGCTGGTAACAAATGAAAGATAAAAGGGTAAAGAGGAGGGATGGTCATTGGAAACTGTTCCCCCTCTGAGATTCCTTCTACTTGTATGTATCTGGAACTAACATAACTAGTAGCTCCCAGCTCAAGTCCTAACTTGTGATTCTTTGCCTGACTTCTCTGGTCCACTCTTGATGGGCATCAAACACATTGTTCATTCACTCAAGGTCTTCCCTTTGCCTTGTAAGTCCTTAGCACTCTGTACTCTGTCCTAGTAGGGGTTCAGATGATATTAATCAGTTGCCATTAATGATTTGCCTTTTTGCATGCTAAGTAGATTCTTTACTTAGGGATCTTCCCATAGCCTTTGTAAAATTCCTAGAAATTAGAAAATTTCACAGTTCTTCTTCCTAAAATGTAGGCAGAAGTATATTTTCTCCTAGAAATCTATTATTATTAAGGATTTATTATCCTATAAATATTATAAAAATGTAATAGTTTTTTTTTTTCATGCAGCTTCATTAATATTCTTATGTAACCCAAAACTATGGTAACTATCTATTCATTTTTTAAAAATACCCTAAGGTATAATTTTCACAGAAGGCAAATTATAAATTTTCTGTCTGATAGCTATTTATCTCTTTGTTTTAGTGTATAGAAAATATTAAATTCAATGAAGAGGTTAACTAAAAAAATTGGGGAGGCTTTCATAGTCATTGACATTGTTGATGAAACAGTTCAAGATATTGTGATCCTTTAGGGCTCAATATTATATAAATATATTGCATTAATTTTCCAATGCAGTTTTAAATTTCAGAAAATATCTGCCAAATAGAGTAATTACCTGATTGTCATTTATGAGCTTACACATAATCTAATTTAAAAGAACTAATTGTAGCAGAATGTTATACTTGTTTAATAATTTAAGGTGTAAGGGCAAGAACAATTAATGCAGTTGAAGAAAATTGGACATCAAACTCATTTATTATTCTCCTTGCTCTATTAATCTGTTATCAACTGGCATAATTGGTGATCTAACTTGGTTTAATTACCATGAAGATTACAATTTAGCTAATCAAAATTTATCATCAGTTCCTCCAACAAAATAGAAAACATTTCGTAATTTTGAAATTATGAAAATACATGATGTACAATGTTGTTTGTACATATGCATAAACATTACAATAGTGTGATTTTTTGATGGAAAATGGAGTATTATCCCTTATAATCTGACCTCTGCACTAAGTGTAATTTAAGAAAATAATAGTGAATTTTGAGAAGAAGTGGGCTATTGCTCAATGTTTTTGTTGGATATTTTGTTTGTTTAAACTTTGTAAGTGACATTCCTACATGGTCTTAAGTATTATTAGTTTAGAGATTGTGTGAAAATACATAAGATAAATTTTGTAACTACTGAGATTATAAAATAGGAAATAACAAAAACCATTTCCTGAAAAAAAAATTGAGTTTTTTATTTCTCCTCAGCTCCGTAAGGCCATTATAGATCATGTATCAGACTCCTTTTTGGATACGACAGTCCCACTTTTGGTTCTCATTGAAGCTGCCAAGAATGGCCGGGAGAAAGAAATAAAAGAATATGCTTCAATATTTCGTGAACACACCAGCAGGCTCATAGAGGTAAGCATGCTAGAACTGTAACTGCTCTAAATCCCGGAGAATGAGACTCTCATTCCCCATTTACAAGTTGACTTGTACTCAGATAAAAAAACTTTTGACAGAAGCAAAGTTTAAATTGTTTTCTTTAATGCATATTTGTTTTCCAAAGCTACACACACATACACACACACTGGTTAAATGCAGATATTTTGTTTTGACCTTAGGAATATTTTCTTCATATTTTAACATAAAAGTATCAAATACTCTATCTCATGCCATTTTATTGTTTCTCTACCATCTTTCCATGGATGTATTACTCTTTTAGGCTTTCAAATCATATTGAACTATGTAGAAAAATAGTGTAAGATTACAAGGGTAGAAAGATCCAAAATAAGTGGATATAGTAGATTGGTCCATGATCCGCTAGATGCAAGAGGAGATGATAAAACTATCATTTTCTTCAGCTTGGAAACTGGAAGCATGAAAATGCTCCATGACTTGGGGACAAGGTGACATATTGCTGAAAGAGCCATAAAGTGCTAGGCAATTCCTAGGAAATAGATAAGGAACCTATTATATTATGGGGATCAGTAATGAAGCCATAGTAGAAGAGTAAGTGTCAATGGAAGGATTTCTAAAACCAGTAAAGTGACAGTTCTCACAAAGCCAGGAACCCATGGAAGGGAAAATGTGCTTGACCAGATTCATATACCAGAGCTGATACACTGCCAGCACTCATCAGTATGACTGTACCAGTTGTTTACAGCTAGTGTCTGTTCTCATTGTCAGTGCCATGCTGTACTGATTATTAAATTCTCTGACTGCCACACTTTCATATACTTACTGGCCATGCCTTTGTGGTGAAATATGTTTAGGGGCTCAAATTGCTTGGTAACCTTGTCAGTTAGAAGTAGACACCACCCAAATTAAAATCACAGCATTTGATAAAACATCTATTAACATAGAGGGTTTTCCCAAAATCTTAAATGTGGATCCCCTAGGAAGGAAGTTTCCAATGTAGCTAGCATTTTCACTACAAACTTTCTGGTTCCTAATCTTCATGTCTAAAAATATGAAAGGAGTGGATAAATAGATAATTACTAAGATCTTGTCAACCTTAAAACTGACCTACGTCCAACTTTGAAATTGACTTTGAACTTCCCAAGAACTCTGCATGACAGGATCACTGTTAACAATTTTCACTGGCATTATATGAAAATAAAGGTAACCCAAACCAGGCCAATTGGAGATGGAGCTGATATCCAGGCTAACAATTTTTAACTAATTCATTCAATTATTTATTATAATTCTAGCTTTATTTATTCTCTCTTGTCATCTTCCTCAAATATGTATGCACTCTTCCCACAGGGAAATATTAAAAGTAAGAGGCAAAGCAGAAGGAGCAAATCATTAAAGGCACCTAACTAAGTGTAGTCCCTGATAATCAAAAACATTTTTTTCTAAAAATGTGTTCTTTAAGCTGAAGATACACCAAATTATGAAAACAATTTGTTGGTGAAATGTTCTGAAAGTAAAAGCTGGTATCAGCTAATAAAGTTGCATCCCTACTGCTATTTCTTAGTTTAGAAATATGTTTCTTAGTTTCTTAGTCTAAGAAACATAAATATCATAAGGTGCTCAATAAGGAAGTACCCTTTGGTCATACAATTTTTGGGGGAAAAGTTGTATCTATTTCTCCTCTTGGAGATTTTACAGTTTCAAAAAATCCATAGATTAAGAGACCCCTTAAATTAAGGCAGAATTTCCCCAAATCAGTTTACCTGAGGAGCTCTTCCTTCCATGACACTTATTATTAAGGCAGTGCCTTGAAGGAACACTTGGAAATGCTACCTTAAGTGCTCCTGGGTGACTTGGTCAATCATGCGTCTGACTGTTTCAACTCAGGTCATGTATTCTACAGTGCAGAGCCTGCTTGTGATTCTCTCTCTCCCTATCTCTCTCTGTTTCTCCCTGCTCATGCTCTATCTCTCTCTCAAAATAATTAAATAAATTTATTGAGAATAATCTTTTATTATTATGTAGACGGAGCCCTAAGAATCTGTTTTAAATATTCAATGATCTGGAAAATTCTGTATTTCATGCGATCATTGAAAGAATAAAAAGATTTTATAATTTTGAGCTACTGGGGGACTGAGAATGAGTCTTATTTAACTTTGAGTGTCCCCTTCAAATATACGATGAGATTATGCTAGTTTTGCACTCTCATAGTTCTCCTTCTGGTATTACTGAGAAACTCGTCTAAGGCATTTTCAGTTCCAGATAGATTATATCACATAACAAGCCATCTCCAAACTTAGTGGATTAAAACAACCATTTATTATTCTTTCACTATGGGTTGACTGGGCAGATGGGCAACTCTCACTTAGGTTTTCTCATGTGATTACTCTCAAATAATGCCTAGGGATGGAACCCTTGAGAGGTTTGACTGGGCTAGACATATAAGATGACACATTTACATGACTGAAAGTGCATGATAACTGTTAGCTGGGAGCTCAGCTGTGGCTCTTCACTGGGGCACCAATACATGGTCTTTCTATGTGGCTTCAGCTTCTTGCAAAATTGTTGCTGGTTCTGAGATGAGAAGTCACAAAAACAAGTCATAAACAGGAAGCTTACATCCTCTTTAGGTCTGGGCCCAAAAGTGGCAGAATACCACTTCCACTGTATACTATTAGTCAGAACAATCACAGAGCCTGCCCAAATATGAAGGGATGCAGGGAGGCATGAAACTTCACCTCTCAACGGAAGGAATAGCAAAGTGTTTATGGCTACCTTTGATCTACTATACTTCTCTTCTCAGGACTTAATTTGTTTTACATAAAGTGTAGGTTAAACAAGATAATGTCTAATGTCACTGCCACCTTTTAAAATTCTATGATATAAGAAATAATTTTTATAATTGGGAGACTTCTAATTTTCTAAGAGATAGAGGCTGGAAGAAAATTGTTTTTAAACATACTGTTTATCGACTACATTGTTTAACAAAACATGGGCACTTCGGTGGCTCAGTCAGTTGAGTGTCTGACTTCAGCTCATGGGTTTGAGCCCCACATGGCGCTCTGTGCTGACAGTGCAGAGCCTGCTTTGGATTCTCTGTCTCTCTTCTCTCTCTGCCCCTTCCTTTCTCTCTCTCTCTCTCTCTCTTTCTCTCTCTCTCTCTCTCAAAAGAATTAAAAACCCAAACATTAAAAAAAGAAAGAAGACAAAGGAAAGCAAACAAACAAACAAAACACTGCATTTTTCTCTCAGGAACATTTCTTTTTGAAAGGAGCTGTCTAACCAAGGCAATAGAGAAAATCATCATTAATTTATTACAAACATTCCACCAGAAGTGTCTGTGACAGAGTCTGGGGAAATAGGAGAGTTTAAATATATGAGTTTCAGAAGACATTGCGAGTTTACCTTGTCTGGATTGTTTACCGATCCACTTTTGTTTTCACTACCACCTGTCCACCCAGACTACTTATACCCATCTTATTCCCCAACTGGGTAATTTGATAGAGTAGGACAGAAAGTCGTAGATTCTAAATGACTTCAAGGAAAAGCTATTTCAACATGTCTGGGTTTTGATACCTCAACTGTGTTTGTCAGAGAAATCTAAAATCAGTGAACTTGTTGAAGTAAGACTTAAATGGAAAGAAAAGTCCATTTTTAAAGAATTCCTATCAGGTCTTTAAAGAAAAACTTAATGCTGTTAAAGGAATACCCTAGATAATGGTTAAAATTGTAGCTTTTACCAAAAAAAAAAAAAAAAAAAAACTGGATTTGAACACAAAGAAACGAAAACAAAAATGAAAACAAAGCATTAAGAAATTCTATGGGTAATACTTAGGCAACCAAAAGGATCTGGGGTGTTAGAGAAAATAAATAGAAATGAAGAGGAGATTAGCCAATAAATTGGGACTGAACCTTCCCATTGTCTAGTGTGGTCATATCTGAGGTCTCCCTTTATATTATCATGTAGTTTGGTATAAAACGATCATGGGTGAAGTGATGGTTATAAAACCTCAGTAGTGTAAATAACTGGGGAACCTAGATTCTTGAGGCTAATTTTGTTTCATTATGCTGAACTGAGTAACTATTAGGCAAAGCCTATCCTACTTTTTTTTTTTAATTTTTAATGTTTTATTTATTTCTGAGAGAGAGAGACAGAGTGAGCAGGGAAGGGTCAGAGAGAGAGGGAGATACAGAATCTGAAGCAGGCTCCAGGCTCTGAGGTAGCAGTCAACACAAAGCCCGACGCAGGGCTCGAAACCACAAACCGTGAGATCACGGCCTGAGCCGAAGTCGGACGCTTACTGAGCCACCCAGGCGCCCTAAGCTTATCCTACTTTGAACATCCCAATTACTCTGTATAACATGAGATCCACCAAACCATGATGGAAATGAGAAGGAAGAGTCAAAAAGTTTGCATAAAATGAGATAAAATTAGAGACGGAGGCAAACTATAAGATACTAATAACTATAGGGAACAAACTTAGGATTGCTGGAAAAGTGGTGGGGGAGGATGGGGTAAATGAATGATGGGCCTTAAGGAGGGCACTTGTAATGAGCACTGGATGTTATATGCAATTGATGAATCACTAAATTCTAGCCATGAAACCAATACTACACTATATGTTAACTAACTTGAATTTAAATACAATCTTGAAAGAACAAAAAAGTTTGACATTTTAAAAATCATCCTTATTAAGTGATTATCATCTAATGACAAATGTGTTCATTGAATTATATTTCCCAGTACTTTGATCTTACACTGATGGTGAATTAGGGCACCATTAACTCTAGTGAATTCCACCAATAATACCTATTAAACATGAAGTTTAAAATAGTACTTTTATCTTAAAAATTATAATAGTTAGATTCTAGAGAGTAAGAATTTTACCTATAATCACTAAGAGACTCTTTTGTTAGCCAAGTCTATGCAGCTAGTACTCAATAAATCTGTATTGAATGAAGAACACAATCATAATACTAATTCACTTTCCTTTCTCTCTAAA